GGTGGCCACCATCCGCCAGAGGCCATTGGACAGTCAGGTTTGGGCCCACAGTGACGAGACACGTAGGGCCTCACGGGATGGGGGTGGAGCTAGCCCTTTCCTAAACAAAAAGACCCCAAGTCGTCACCCACAAACGGCCTCTCTGGCTCCTGATTAAGGTGCTTAATGGCCATGATCCCAGAGACTCAGACACAAATCTCAGAATCCAGTGGCTTTTGGCAGAAATGCATCTGGACCCTGCAGTAGGTTACTGTCGCTGGGCCGTTCCAGGGAGGAAAGGGTGCTATCCCCTCCACCTGCTCCCCCTTGGCAGCTCGGTGGCCGCCATCCTCCAGAGGCCATTGGACAGTCAGGTTTGGGCCCTCAGTGATGAGACATGTGGGGCCTCACGGGATGGGGGTGGGACCAGCCCTTTCCTCCCCATCCCAGCAAGACCCCTAGTCACCGACCACTAACGGCCTTTCTGGCTCCCGATCAATCTGCTTAACGGCCATGATCCCACAGACTCAGGAACAAATCCTGGAACCCAGCAGGTTTTGGGAAGAAATTCCTCCAGATTTAATTGTTAAAATTTTGGAATTTCAAAATCGCACAGCCACTACTACAACCACGTGACATCATATGTTATTCATAACCAGGAATAGAAAACAAATTGTCTACTGTTGCCCTTTCAGCAGCTCTGAGTGTTGGGGTAAAATCCCAAATAATAATGGTGGGTCCAGTGTCAAAATATTGAATGTAATCAAAGTAGAGAGAGCGCAATGTGAAAATCATCTCTCCACAGGTAGGGGGAGGGTGTGGGATGGGGGCATACTGGGGTTTTTGGTGGTGGAGAATGGCACTGGTGAAGGTACGGGTCTTTCATTTTATAACCAAGATTTAAACCCGAAAGCTTTGTAACTGCTCTCATGGTGATTCAATAAATAAAATTATAAAAAAATGAAAAAAAATAGAACAACTGGGTGAGGTTTAAAGGCAAAAAACCCAAAACAAATAAAACCTCTATTGCATTATTGCAAAGCTTCATAACCAATGTAGCCTAAAATGAATACCTTCAGTGATTCTCCATAGCTATTTGACAAGACGAAAATAAAGGGACACCATGCAGTACAGACACCATCAATCCATAAAGTCTGGGAAAGAAACTGGAAGTTGCTATATTATTAATCCAAAATTAACAGAACCAAAGATGCTTATAAGCACCAACTCCTTTACGTTTGCAGCACATGTGTCCTCAGGTTGATTTTTCTGGAAAAAAATCTTGAGCAAGAACGTTACTTTTAGCCTACATAATTGAATACCTGAAAGATAGGTCCATGACAATTGGGCCCTAGAAAAGCAAGTCCCAGCCCATATCCTGCCCTGCAGCTGCGTCCTGTTGATAGCACCAAGGACACCCATCTTCTTCTTGTTGCCCCTGGAATTCACCAAAAAAGGTCATGGGGCCAGAGAAGGCCTGATTGGCTGCCTGCGTGCAGCATCTAATGTGATCATTCGAAGGTATTGGGTGATTTGTGCGCTGGCTTTTCTGAGACGGCGGGAAGTTGCCCTATAAGAAGCTCCCTCTGAAGAGGCTCGGGGCTCTCAGCCACTGACGGTTTGCGGTCATGCTGTGAGCCTGAGCATGCTCGAATAAACCTCTTGCTTTTGCATGGACTTGGTCTCTCAGCGTTTTCCTTGACAGGTGAGGCTGTCCTGAGCTCGGACCCTAACAAATATAGTGAGACATTTGGCCTACAAATGCTGTTCTCCTTCTGATAATCACTTATTCTAAGAAATAGATGTTCTATGTGGAGGGAGATTAGTCATTGCTTTCAGTCTGTTTCAGTCTGAGGACGTTATCCCCCTGATCCCACACTTTTTTCTTCCCATATTTCCATATCTTAATCCTCGCAGTGTCCTTATTTCAAGCCTGTTTAGCTCGATCTGGCCACAGGCAATAGGTGATTTTTAAAAAAACTTGTGTGCCAGTTACATGAGAAGTGTGCCCAGTGTATGAATGCAGACGACTCAGCTATGTGTAGTACCTCTGCTCAAAACAGCTTGTGAACGCACAGTGACCACTGTTAAGGCAAGAAGAAATAGGAAACAACGGGTCTCTGGTGTCATGAGATGAGTGGCTAGCAGGTGGGGACAAAGAAGCCATATTGCCTGGATTCTGGAGATTGTCAGGAAAACCTAGAAATCGGGTAAGACCTTTCAAAAATCATGCTTAAGATAAACTGAATACAGGGAAGGATAAGCTGCCAAGAGCAGAAGACTATCATTTAATAAAGACTCCCTGGATGATCCCCAAGACACCGACAGACCCAAAGTCCAAGGTGAGCAGCTCCAAACAAGTACAAAAGAAACGCACTGAAACTTTCGGACCACACTCCTACGAATAAGCCCATCACTGTTGGGGATCCAGGAAACTTGAACCTCAAGGTCACGTTCAACAAGAGTAAAAAGGTAGTATTCAGGGAAAAGGCAGCCTCTGAAAATCTGCTCAACATTCTAAAACATTTATTTGTAAGTTACTGTGTAACTATACTTAAGTCACACGCCATGGATTGATACACACGTGCACCTCACCAGCAAATTCCAAGTAGGCCACGAAATAAAAGCCTTAGGATTGCAGTGCAACCCACACGCAAGACACAGGTGGATGTTTTGGCTCAGAACTACGGACAGAACCCAGAGCCTCGCCGCCAGGCACCACGTGGCAGCATCTTCAAGACGAAACCAGTGAGGTCTGCCGCCTACGGCCACTGTGGGCACCGTGCCCGGCAGGGTGTCGAGACACCGCCCCACGGCCGAGCGCGACTCTGCCCAGGGTGCTGAAAGGCGACTCGGGCGGTCCCATGCCCGGGGGCGCGCACGGCACCCCAGGGCGCCCGCCCCTTCCGCCGCGGAAACCCGGTGTCTGCAGGGTCCAGACGCAGGGACGGCCGTCGGCGGGGGCAGGCAAACGGCCTGGCCCGGTCCCTGCCTGCATCCCTGGGGAAGTCGGCGGACGCGGCGCCGAGAAGGCAGGCGGAGTCCGGGTCCGGGCTCCCCAGCCCCGAGCTCTTCCCTCGGACCCTTCCCGCTCCCCTCAAACTCCTCCGCAAAGAAGAGCGTTTGACCTCGGCGAGGAGCAAAGGAACCAACACGCGGGGACTCGGGCCCAGGGAGCCCCCTCGGCCGCCGGAACACCCAGGCGGACCCGCTCACCTGCGCGCCCCCGGGAGCCGGCAGCGCCCGGCGCCCAGGGGAGCGCGCGTGGGGGAGGGCGCACGCGGGGGGCGGGGAAGCCCGAGGGAACCGGCTCCCTCGGACCACTGAGACGCAGCGGCTGAGCCCGGACCCCCACGGAGAGAACCCCGCCGCCCCACTGCGCGGACCCCCTGGGACGGAGAGGCCCGTCCACGCCCGGCTCTCCCGTCCGCGCCCACGCACCTGTGTCGCGGGGCCCCGCAGGACCGAGCCCTGCCCTGAAACCGCGCCCGAAGCGGCCCCGAGGCTGGGGCAGGTCAGGTCCTCCCAGCGGTGGGGCTGTGGCAGGAATCAACGGAAGGAAACGGGGACCGGGATCTCAGGCAAGCAGGCTCAGGTGTCGTGCAGGTGAGGCCACGCCCCCAGGCATCACGCAGGTGAGGCCACGCCCCCAGGCGGCACGCAGGTGAGGCCACGCCCCCCCTCCCCGGTATCCTACAGGTGAGGCCACATTGGGAAATGTGCACTGGGAAAAGGAGGGGTGTTGGAACGTTGAACAATTAAAATTCAATCATGAACAATCTTATAACTGTATCTCATGGTGATTCACTTTTTTTTAAGCTGGAGAAAAAAAAGAATAGAAAGCACAAGTATTTCAAGAAGGCCTCAAATAAAATTAACCTTCAGGAAGAATGCACGAGCAGACATCCCACACTCTGGCTTTGCAACAACTGGTGAGGAGAGGATATGACAATCTCTACTCTAAGGATGCACTCAGCACCAAGATGTTGTGTGGAAACAAAACCAATCATGCCAGCGGTCAGAGAGATTACAGCCGGTAGGGTGCTTGACTTGTACACTGCTGATCTGGATTGGATTTGATTCTCCGCATTCCATATGACCCTGGAGCACCGTCAGGAGTGCTCCCTGAGCACAGCACCAGGAGTATTTATTTTTTAAGAATAATGCCACTGTACATAAACAATGTGGGAAATCCATGTGAGCAAGCAAACTAGGAAAGGCAGCCCAGTAAGAACCATGACCTGGTGCTTGAGCGATTGCACAGCAGATAGGGCATTTGCCTTGCACGTGGCCAACCTGGGTTTGATTCCCAGCATCCCATGGGTCCCCCAAGCACCGCCAGGAGTAATTCCTGAGTGCAGAGCCAGGAGTAACCCTTGTGCATCGCCAAGTGTGACCCAAAAAAAAAAAAAAGACCCCGTGGATGCCCACCTATAAACAAGATGGTCAGACTTCTTCGTCAAGACCCTGAACAATCGGTTTGAGGCTATTCATGTTCCTAGAACAAACAGACGTCATTGGGCTACACTAGCACACACAGGGACAATGCAGACGTTACTGGAGCCTGCTCGAGCAAATCAATGATTAACGAGAAGTCAAGCAATCGAGGGACTTCGGGTAACTGGATGAGGAAAAGCAATGTTTATTTTTTTATTATATATATATTTTTTGCTTTTTGGGTCACACCTAGCGATGTTCAGGGGTTCCTGACTGCACTCAGGAATTACTCCTGGCGGTGCTTGGGGGACCGTATAAGATGCCAGGGATCGAACCCAGGTCAGCCACGTGCAAGGCAAATGCCCTACCCGCTATGCTATCACCCCGGCCCCAGAAAAGCAATGTTTTAAAGCACAGATCTCTAAACCCTTGGATCCAGACGATAGAAACGGAAGAAGGAAAGTGTGAGAAGAGATAGATGAGATGAAATGGGAACTCAGGTACATCAGTGGTAGTTACAAAATGATAGAGATAAATATTCAAACCGCAGAGTTAATAACACCGAAATTCCAAGATTCAAACGTTCATAACAAGATTTTCAAGGTGCCTGTCAAGATGACACATTCGGACTGGGGGAGGGATGGAGGAGAGAGAGTCCAGAAACACCGGTGGAGGGATTGGGGATGGAACATTGGACGCCGAAAGCCACTCTCTGAATAACTTTGTGATTCTTGTTGCTTTAGCACGGCACTGTCCCTCCGTTGTTCCTCGATTTGCAAGAGTGGGCCAAGGAACGTCTCCGTTTTGAGTCTTCTTGTGGGTCTGGCAGGTGGGATACGACACGGGTAGCTTGCTAGGCTTTGCCCTGCGGCGAGATGCTCTGGGGAGCTTGCCGGGCTCTCCAAGAGGGGCGGAGGAATTGAACCCGGCCCGGAGGTCAAAGAGGATGCAATCCTGAAAAGAAAGTGGATGGATTATTCCCCGCCCGCCCGCATCCCCGAGACACACACGCCCAGACTTGGGGCTGGCGGGGAGGCCCGGGGGGGGGGGGGGGGGGGGGGGGGGGGAGCGGCGAGCCACCGCGGCCCTCAGCCGACATCCCTTTTCGGAGCCAGCTCCAGAAGGCAATGGGAGAGATTCAGAAGTCCAGAAAGACCTCGGGGGAAAAAAAAATCTAAGTCCTCTTCCTTCTCGGTCCAGGAACCAGGTGCCCCCACAGGCTCCCAGCCGGACCCCGCCACGCAGCGATGCAGTGCCTGCGGCAAAGGGCCAGGCCTCGGGTCCAGGGGCACGTGCTCAGCCGGGTCCTCGGCCCTGCCCCGAGCCGCTGCAGACCCGAGAGCTACGCCGCCCGGGCTCAGCCGGCGCAAGGACCGGCCCCGGCAAGGGCGTCCCCGGGCTCAGGCCGTGCCGCTGTGGACCCCGGAGCCAGCTACGCGGCAGCCGCCGGGCGAGGGACGGGCCACGGCGACCCTCGGAGCTTAGCTACGCACCCGCCGGGGAGGGCCATACATTTATTTTTAAAAATCTATTTATTTAAAAAAATTACATCTTATTATCTCATTCCTACTTTGGACAAACTTGCAGGCTATCGAATGTAGCCTGCCCACAGGGCAGAGTCTGGCAAACTCCCCGTGGCGTACCAAATATGCCAAATACCAGTAACAATGATGGGGCTCATTCTCCTAAAGAGCCTTGAATATAATCTCAGGGCTAGGATGAAGGAGACGTTACTGGGGCCTGCTCGAGGCAATCGACGATTAACAGGATGATGAAATGAAATGAAAAAAAAATTATAGAAAAAAAAAGGGGAAAGCCAGCAAGCCGGCAAGGAAAAGAGGAGTCCATCCTGAGGGGGTCCCGACAGGACCAAAGAGAAAAGCAGGGCCCGGGTCTCGCTGGTGGAGCACAAGCGGGCCCGGTGGACGGGCGGGGGCTCCCTCCCCTCCTGCCTGGGTCCTGGTCTGGCGGACCCGTGAGCACCGAAGTTTGTGGGTCTGTCCCTGGGCCTCCCGGTCATCCGTCGTGAAAAAAAATCATAAAAAAAAAAAAGATTAAACAAGAGAGAGAGAAACGCCGGCCAGCAAAAGAGTACATCCCCAGGACCCTGGCAAGCTCCCAGTGACCTATTCGATCTGCCAAACACAGTAACGTGTCTCCCAATGTCACTGGACCCGCTGGAACAAATCCACGGACAACGGAAGGACAGTGACATTTAATACTTGAAATACCAGTTTCCCTGTCAGTTCCAACTTAAGTCTAGCAACAGAGGAACTTATAACAATTGACAGTGGTAGGCTTACCAACATGATTTAAGATTGAATTTAGGCTTAAGTACACGGTTTCCGCTGGTTTATCTGTATTTAAGGTTTTCGTTTTATGCTTGTTCTGACCTATAGAGTTGCGATCTTATAAAGATGTAAAAGGTAAAGGTAAAAGGTAAAGGCCCTCCCGTTGATCGTCGATTTGCTCGAGCGGGCCCAGTAACGTCTCCATTGGAGACTTTGTTGTTACTGTGTCTGGCATATCGAATACTCTCGGTAGCTTGCCGGGCTCTCCGAGAGGGGCGGAGGAATCGAACTCGGGTCGGCCATGTTGGCCGCTTGTAAGGCGAACGCCCTACCCGCTGTGCTATCGCTCCAGCCCTATATATAGTCAGAATGTGAGTCGGAACCTATTTATAATATATATATTTTGCTCGAGCGGGCCCAGTAACATCTCCATCGTGAGACTTGTTACTGTGTTTGGCATATTGAGTACGTCACGGGTAGCTTGCCAAGCTCTGCCGTGCGGGCGAAATACTCTCAGTAGCTTGCCGGGCTCTTTTTGCTTTTTGGGTCACACCCGGCGATGCTCAGGGGTTACTCCTGGCTCATGTACTCAGGAATCACTCCTGACGGTGCTTGGGGGACCCTATGGGATGCTGGGAATCGAACCCGGGTCAGCCGCGTGCAAGGCAAACGCCCTACCCGCTGTGCTATCGCTCCAGCCCGGAACCTATTTATAATATTTGAAAAATCAACTTCCTTGTCAGTTATGCTTAAAATAAGTGCCAAGTTCTAGAATTCAGCTACGCATAGTTTACAAGTTCTGAACTGGTAATGGTACGATTACAAACGTGACTTTTTTCAGGTTGAATTTAGGCTTAAGAACAGGATTACTTTTGGTTTGGCTCTAAGTGTCATTTAGCCTTTTGTGTCATGTATAGAGTTGCAATATTATTAATATAGGTACAATGTGAGTCTGAACCTGTACCTAATGCTTTAAACACCAATTTCCTGTAAGTTCAAACTTAAGTCTAGGGACAGAATATCTTATAAGAATTGATAGTGGTAGGCTTACGGACAATTTTAAGATTGAATTTAGGCTTAAGTACATGGTTTCTACCATTTGGTGTTTTTGTTTCATGCTTGTATTGACCTGTAGAGTTGCTGTCTTAAGTGAGTGAGGCGGAAACTATGTCTCTTCTTTGAAAAGTCCATTTCCCTCTCAGTTACTTTTAAAATGAAAGACAAGTTAAGCTATTCATAGTTTACCAGTTCTGAATTGACAGTGGTATGATGATGAACATTTTTTGTTTTAAGGTTGAATTTCGGCTTATGTACCCGGTTTCTTCTGCTTTAGTTGTAGTGTTTTGTTGAAGGCCTTGCTTGGACGTATAGCTCTGCGATTTTATTAAAAGGTGAGATGTACAATGTGAGCCTGAACTTATGTCTAATATTTGAGAAACCAATTTCCTGATCAGTTATTGTTACAACGAAGTCTAGGGCAGAATGAAATTATGCACTGCATACGGGTTATGAATAGATGTTTGTATGAGTACAGATATTATTTAGTTTTATTTTATTTATTTTTTTAATTATTATTCAGATTTTATAAGTTTAGATTGGGCTACTTTATACGGTTTCTGCTGGATTAGCGGTGCAATTTAGGGTGTAGATCATTGCCTGTTTTGATGTATAAAGAGTTGTTGTATCATTATGGGCATCATTCATTTTAAGGTTGAGTGTAGGCTTAAGTACAAGGTTTCTGCTGGTTTAGCTATAACATTCATTTAGGGTTTTGATTTATGCTTGTTTTGACATACAGAGTTTGATCTTTTTATGATAGGCACAATGTGAACATGAACCAACATGTACTACATGAAACACCAATTTATTGAGCAGTTATATTTAAAATGCAAGCCTAGATGTAGATGTTTGTATCATTAAGGACATTAATGTTTGTTTAGGATTGGGGTAGGCTTAAGTACACAATTACTATTGGTGTCATTTAGCGTTCTGTGTCATGCTTGTTTTGACGTATAGAGTTGCGATATTATTAATATAGATACAATATGAGTCTGAACCTATGTCTACTATTTGAAACACCAATTTTCTTATCAGTTACGTTTAAAATGTAAGTCTAGTTCTAGAATGGAGCTATGCATATCTTATAGAATTGATAGTGGTACGATTACTGACATTAATTGTTCTAAGGTTTCTGCTGGTTTAGCTATGAATTTCATTTAGGGTTTTGATTAATGCTTGTTTTGTAATAGTTTGATCATTTTAAGATAGGTACTATGTAAACCTGAAGCAATGTGCATTACATGAAGTAACATATTGTACAGTTATATTTAACATACAAGTACACATGTAGATGTTTGTATCATTAAGGACATGATTAAGTGATTAAGGACATTAATGTTTGTTTAGGATTGGGGTAGGCTTAAGTACACGATTACTGCTGGTGTAGCTCTAAGTGTCATTTAGTGTTCTGTGCCATGCTTGTTTTGATGTATAGAGTTGCGATATTATCAATATAGGTACAATGTGAGTCTGAACCTATGCCCAGTATTTGAAACACCAATATCCTTGTCATTTTTGTTTAAAGTGTAAGTCTAGTTCTAGAATGGAACTCTGCATATCTTATAAAATTGATAGTGGTACGATTACTGACATTGTTTTATAGCTTCTGCTGGTTTCGCAATGTCCTTTAACGTTTCATTTAATGCATCTTTTGATGTAAATAGTTGCGAACCTATTAGTATAGGTACAATATGGTCCTGAACCTTTGTCTAATATTTGAAATACCAATTTCCTTGTCAGTTCTAACTTAAGTGTAGGGCACCAGGGGGTCACCTAGAGTGACAGAGAAGTGGAAATGCAGGAGCAGGAGGGGCACCGCTGAGGGGCCGGGGGCAGGGCGGGGCGGCACACACCTGGGATTCCCCAGAGACGAAGAGGACTGCGGGGTGCTTCATGCCCGGGTGCATGGAGTGCAGCTTGTACTGCATGTGGAAGTGGAAGATTTCGGGGGGCACGTAGTCAGGTGGGCAGCCTGTGGGAGACGAGAGGGCTGCTGGGACCCGGGCTCGCTCTCTGCCTCCTCGGGGTTGCTGGACTCTAACAGGACTGACCAGTCCTGGAGATCTGGGGTGCAGTTAACTCTGGGTTGCTCTGACTGTCGGCATGCCCTGTCCCTCACTGGTCAGCGCTTCCGATATGCTTTTTTCGCCTTTTGGGTCAGACCTGGCGATACTCAGGGTTGACTCCTGACTCTGCACTCAGGAATTGCTCCAGGCTGTGCTCAGGGGCCTCTGTGGGATGTCGGAGATCGAACCTGGGTCGGCCGCACGCAAGGCAAACGCCCTCACGACCGGACTCTCGCTTCCGCCCAAGCGTCTGGTTTTCTGCCCACCCCCGTGGACGGCTCTATTGCAGGTACCTTAGGGAAGGAGCAGGCCTCGATGGGGCACTTGAACTCATCTGGGGAGAGACGGGAGGGCAGAGGATGAGTGGGGACCCACCCGCAGGCCTCCTGGGAACTGCGGGGAAGGGGCCACGGGGGAGACCTGCGTGCTGCCTGCTGGCGCAGCCCCTCTCAGGTCCCGGCACCAGTGACGGCAGCGACCCAAGGGCTGGCCCCCAGCTCTGAGGGTTGGGGGGCCCGTGGCGGGACGCCAGTGCAGCCTGGCCCCGAGAGGCCCCCTGACCGTAGCGGGGTCGTCCCTGGTGAGGCCGGCTTCCGGGACTCTGCAGGCTGGGCAGAGTTGGTGCTGGGCAAGGCACCCCCACACCCTGCGCTCTCGAGGCCAGACCGTACACAGCTCCCCTGGCCTTCTCCTCCTGGCCTGGGGAGGCCCGAGGCGGGGGCTCGGCCTGGCTGCCCCCCTGCTGTCCCCCTTCACTTCTGGCCCACCTCTGGGGCGGAAGCAGATGTTTCCAGCAAGGCACTCGCCGATGCCCCTGACTGTCCAGAGCAGGACTGAGGGACAGGGCAGCGGCCCCCCGCCCCCCCTCACTGTGCATTTTACAGCCTGCTGCTGGCTATTTCTGGGAGGAGGGTGGCCCATACACGGCAATGCTCAGTGATCCCTCCTGGTGGGACCCATGGCACCCTCTGGGGTGCCGGGGATGGAACCCAGGTGGGCCATGGGCACAGTCAGCGCCCTGCCCGCCAGCCAGTGGCTAGGGGCCCACTCACCTTCCCTGGGGTGCAGCGGCTGGGTCCAGTCGTGGCCGCTGGGCGTGAGCGTGACCGTGACCTTGTCCAAGCAGCAGAAGCCGGTCTTACACTCGTTGGGGAGGAAGCTCAGCCGGTCGCCCCCGTCCCGCCGGGGGAAGGGGCAGAAGATGTCGTGCACCTGTGGGTGGGAGTGGCCACGTCAGCTGTGGTGGCAGGGGTGGGGCCACGAGAAGGCGGGGGAGGGGGCCCCCTGGGGCCTTGCGTTGATCCACACGTCGGTGACCTCCTCGTAGATGGCGAAGGGCTGGACGGAGCTGGACACGGCCCTGGCGAAGGCGCGCCACTGCTCCTCGGTGTCCGTCGCGGGGATGAACAGGGCCGGGGGCAGGAGCACGTGCTGCAACCGCTGCTGGGGCCGGTCCAGGAACGTGGCCCAGGCGCTGCGAGGGGAGGTGGGGGGAGGGGCGTGCAGGCGGGTCACCGGAGCCGGCCTCGTGAGCACTGACCCAGGAGACCCCGCCCGCACACCAGTTTTGAGATGGGCCAAGGCTTGAGGGAGGCCAGCGGGGCCGGGAGCACCCCAGAATCTCACAGTCCTGGAACAGCAGGGAGGGCATTGGCCTCGCCTGGGTCCAACCAGACCGGAACCCCAGTCCGTGCTGGATGTGTGGGGCAGGAGGGTTGCGCGGGGACTGAGCAGCCTGCGACCTTGTCAGGCTGAGGGGACAGGCTGCGGCCACCCCTGCTGTCTCTGCAGACCTTTGTGGTCAGGGGTCCCCACTTGGCACGTCACCCCGAGTGTGGTGCCTGTGGCTCTGTGGGGTCCACTCTGGAGTGTCCTGCCTCAGGCCAGCGGCTCTTTGTTGAAAACGTGCTCTTTGTTGAAAGGGGGTGGGGACTGGGAGCGTCCCACCCTGCCTCCACCCAGCGGGGGCTGCTCTTGACCAAACCCAGCATGCGGACTGTTAATTCTGTTTTGTTTTCTGGGGCCACACGCGGCGGATACTCAGGGCTGACTCCTGGCTCTGCGCTCCGGGCTCAGTCCTGGTGGGACTTGGAGTCTCCTACGGGATGCCGGGGATCGAACCCGGGTCAGCCACATTCGAGGCCAGCGCCCTCCTCATTGTGCTATTGCACCAGCCCTCAACATCTGGAAATCCAGCTGTGTCGGTCACATTGGTTCTTTGGATCCCCCCTCCCCCGATGCCCTCCTGCCCAGTCGGACAAATCACTGAAACTCAAAGTGACCCCCCCGCACCCCTGGCCTGCCCCAGGCCCCACAACTTACTGCTTTCCATCCTGGGTCCAGCCAGCCCTGGCGACAAACTCCACCCGCGGGAAGAGAGAGCCGAAGGGCTGCACCAGCTCCTTCTCCTGGCTGGAGACGATCTGGAGCGACGAGGACAGCTGTGAGGGGGCTCTGTGGCTCCCCACCCCCACCCCAGGCCACAGACAGCCCCTGCCCACGGTGGCTCCCCAGCCAGGCCCCTCACCTTGCCCTGGCTGTCAGTCTGGAACTCGGCTAGTTTCAAGGCAATCTTGGGGTTCTTGCTGCCTGCAGGAAGGAGCACGGGGTGAATCCTGGTCCCCCAAGCTCTGGGGCCCAAGGCCCACTTTGGCCGCACCCGAGCATCCTGGGAGCCCCCGGAGCTTTTAAGACATGTAAGGCAAAGGCATCCGAGCCCCCGGGGCAGTTCTGGGCTGAGTCGGGCCAGGCCTCACCAGTCCGCGGGTATCAGTACGAGTCCATCTTCCTCTCCTCCAAGGGACGTGTATGATGTCCACCTCGGACTCGTCCACCTCCTCATACAGGATCCGCAGCGTCTTGACACCTTCCGGACCTGAGAGGGTGTTTGGGGGGTAGGGGCATGGGTGAGGGAGACGGGAACCCCAGGGTCGGAACCCCCCGCTCCTGGCTATTCCACCACTGAGCCCAGACGGAACTGGGGACCCAGGGCCGCCACTCACAGGATGTGAAGCCCCTGGGGTTCCCTCTGGGTTATGTGACCCCCTGCTCAATGGAACAGGTCTTCAGGAGGTGACTTGTGGGGGCAGCGAGGTCCCCCTGCAAGCCAGGCCCTGACAATCTACACCCAGCTGGAGCTGGCCGTGACCGGAAGACAGGAGCCCCCACACAGGGTCAGGCCCCTAAGGATCGGGGACCAGGAGGGGGGTGCCCGCCCAATGCTGCATCTGCCCACGCCTTGAACTTGGACTCCAGCCCACCAGATCTGCCAAGCACCAAGGCCCCACTGAGTGGAGGCACCCCGACACCATGGTTTTGCTGAGCCGCCAGAACGGAAGTGGACATGAGCGACTGGAGGGGTCCCTGGGCAGTGACAAGAGCTCAGAGCCAGCAGGCAGCGGGACCGACCCTCGCAGGAGGCCATGGGGCACCACCAGTAGCCAGCAAAGCGGTCAGACTCTTCCTGGATGACGAAGGCGGCCACACCTGCAGACTTGGGGTCCTCGAGGACGTTGGACAAGCCTGGGGTTGGGGAGAGGGGTCCAGATGAGAGTAGCGGCAAGGATTCTCCCTCCAACATGCTGACACCAGGGGCCACATGCTTTCTGCGTGCAGGAGCTGCCCTGGACGTGCCAGGATGGGGCATGGCACCTGCGATGCCCGCCCATCCAGTACACGCCAGGCACCATGACCAGGAAGGGGGGCAACTCAGGAGGAGGGGAGGCCTGGGGGCTCTCCAGCGGGGTGGGAATGAAGCAAGGGAAGACCAAATATCTGGACAGGCCGGGTCAGGGGGCAGGGCCGACAGACGCAGAGATCACAGCTGGCTCGGAGGACAAGGACTCCCGCAGGCTCTGTGGGGTCCAGGAAGGTGTCCAGTGGGCAGGGGCCTGAGGAAGAGCCGGAAGACAAGGGGATCCTCCCGGGCCTCACCTTGGTGGCAGCACGTCAGCCTGTGCTCCTCGCCGGTCTCGATGTTGGCCACCCAGAGGTCACTGAGGTTGATGAAGGAGAAGAAGGTGGGGTCAGCGGGGCAGATCTTGGGGTCCATGTGGGGCCCAGAGCACTGGGTCTTGATTTCCAGCAGCTTCATGGGGGACACCTGGAGACAGCAAGTCTCAGGGGCTGCCCCAAGCAGCCCACCCTGGGTACACCCCGAGCCCGCCCCCTCCCGGCTCCAAGCTCCAGTGGCCCACCCACATAACCACGGGTCACGCCCCAGCACCCAGGCCCCGCCCCCAAACTCCCCTGGCCCTGCCCCCAGCTCCATTGGCCCCGCCTCCACAACCACCACTCACCCTTGCACCCAACCCTGGCCCCGAAACGCCACTGGCCCGGTGGGTGTCCAATCAGGAAGGCTCGGCATGGCCTTCGTGTCCTCAGTTCACCACAAAAGGCTGGGTGCAGAGCCTGTGCCTAGAAGCGGGAAGCAGACCGGAGTGTCTGCCCTCAGACCCCTGCAGAGCCAGCAGGGCGCCGTGCGAGGGTCGCGCATGTCTCACACACACACACACACACACACACACACACACACACACACACACACAGAGCAAGAAAAGGAAGTGGGGGCAGGAGGAACCAGCACCTAGGGTGTGTCTGTGTGGTGTTTCTCCAGGAGGGCAGTTCCAGCCTCCACCCCCCAGGACCTCGTGTCCCCCAAGGGAGACTCAGATGCTCCCTCCAAGCTGCTGCCCCAGGAACAGCCCATTTCCAGGACCTGAGTCAGGGGAAGCAACCGGGGTGTCCGTCTCCACCCAGCCTGCCCATGCGCCAGCTGCCAGGGTGCCAACGAGCCCGGGAGCGCCTGCCTCCACCCGGCACGGAAACTCGCCCAGAACCAGGCCTGGCGCAGGGTGTCGGCTCATCCTCCCCAGCACCCCCGACCCCCCCCCGTCTGGGAAGCAAGCTCACAGAGCAACTGCTGGGCACCAGCCCGAGTCAGGGGGTGCCCGATCTCCCAGTGCCCAGACGCACACCCGATCCAGGGCAGCGGGGCTCGGCCGGGGGCAGTAGGTGGGGGCCAGGCACCTGGCGCGGGCACCCCGGCTTGGGGAGGAGTGCAGCTGGCCGCGGGAGTGCGTGGGGGCCACAGAATGGTGGGGTCCCGATGCTCCAGGGGGCAGTGCCCTTCCCCGGACCCCCACCCCCAAACCCCAAAGCCAGGGGGCGCCAGGGCCACCCCAGGAGTCAGCGCTGGGGATACACAAGCCCCTGCATCAGCTCCCCATGCCCCCCACGGGCCCCCTCACCTGTCCCAACTCCCAGTCCTGATCCAGATGCAGCTTCTTAATGTGCTCGGCAGCCTCAGGGGACCCGGGTGGGGGCTGGGGCCTGCGAGGGTGGGATGGGGAGGGACAGTGAGGGTCAGCGAGCTGCAGCCACCTGCTCCCGCCATCCAGCCCGTAGGCGAAACCCAGTGCCAAGAGACGACTGGGCAGGGAACTGCCTGATCGCCCAGTTCCGACAGAAGATGTGATTTCAAGTGACCCCCCCCGCAGGGTCACCCACAGGACACGGGTGGGGGAAGGGGAGGTGTGACTGGGGGGGCAGGGGGCCCTTTGCAGACCTGACCCATCAGCCCCTTGGCAGGACACCCTCCTGCTTTTGTTTCGGGGACACGCTCCATAGGACTGGGGAGGGGGCGTGGACAGGACCGGACGGCAGGTGATGGGGGTCAGACACGGGGCCCACAGGCAGAGATGTGCCGCGGCCCCTCGAGGCATCTCCTGCACCCCGCTCTAGCTGCCGCTGGGCTGACATGCTCCCCCTGCCCCGTGGGTCTCTGGGGGCTTCTGGCGCAAGCAGGTGGGGGCCAAGGGGGCTGGTGCACACCCTAAAGTGTCAGGACACGCAGCGACCCCCGAGAGAAGGATCTCCAAGGGGGCGAGGGAGGCAGCTGAATTGGAACCACCGTTCCACGGTGGCCGGGAAAATCGAGCCAAGGGGGGACACGGGAGAGAATTGGGGCGCGCCCCTCCACTCCCCGGCCCCTAGCCAGTGGGTGGCTCCAGGCGGGGCTGGCCTCAGGGCCCCAGCTCTGAGCGTGACAGAACACAGGAATGACTGCCCTGCCCAGGGCACTGGGAACAAGCCCCGGGCATCTGGGGGCATCTGGGGTCGGTGAAGACAGAGCTCCGCCTCCCAGCCCCCAAGAATGGTCCTGCCCCAAAGAGGCCTGGGGTACAAGGATGGGCCCCGGAGGGGCTGATGGGGTGTCTGCCCCTGCTCAGTGCAAAGCTGCCCAGAGGAACAAACCAAGCCCCTTCCTCCCAGGTGGGGGGCTGCAGGGGACAACACCGGAGGTCTGAGGAACCCAAGGAGGGTGCACAGCACCCACCCACCTTTCTGCAGCCTCGCCCCAGGGCGGGCAGGAGTCCCGGAGGATTCTAGATAAGGCGAGGGGGAGGGAGGGCCTTGGTCCCGGGACAAAGATCATCAGGAAGGAAGCGGGAAGGCAGACTGCCACCCCCCAGAGCAGCAGGGAGCCAGGGTGAGAGGGGGGTCAGAGCCAGGTTCTGCCACTTGCTGGGGATCGGAGCCAGGTTCTGCCACTTCCGGGCTGGGTCACCCCAGGGGACCCTCACAGCCTCTCTGGGCCTGGCTGTCCTCAGCTGTGCCTGGGACAACCCCAGCACACCCACCAAGGGCTATGGGAAGGAGCTTAGAGGAGGGCCTTGGACTTTGGGACCCTGGCAGCTGACAAGCTGTTGGGGAATTTCAAACCCCACCCTGGGGCAGAGAGACAGAGGTCTGCAGGACATCAGAGGACACCCCCAAGCCTCACTAGGGTCCTCTGAGCACACAGGCAACTGTGGTCCTTGAAACGGAAGGAAGGAAGGAAGGAAGGGAGGGAGGGAGGGAGGGAGGGAGGGAAGAAGAAAAAAGGAAAGAAAGGAAGAAAGAAAAAGAGAAAGGAAAAGAAAGGAAGAAAAAGGAAGGAAAGAAGAAAGGAAGAGAAAGAAAGAAAAGGAAGGAAGGAAGGAAGAGAGGGAGGGAGGGAGGGGAAGAAGGAAAAGAAGAAAAAAGGAAAGGAAGAAAGAAAAAAGAGAAAGAAAGGAAAAGGAAGAAGAAAAAGGAAGGAAAGAAGAAAGGGAGAAAGAAAGAAAAGGAAGGAAGGAAGGAAGGAAGGAAAGAAGGAAGAAGGAAAAGGAAGAAAGGGAAAGGAAGAAGGAAAGAAAGGAATGAAGAGAGAAAGAAAAAAGTGAAAGAAAGGAAGGAAAAGAAAGGAAGGAAAGAAAGAAAAAAAGGAAAGAAGGAAGGAAAAGGAAGAAGGGAAAGGACGAAGGAAAGAGAAGAAAGAAAAGAAAGGAAGAAAGAAAAAAGAGAAAGGAGAAGAAAGGACGGAAGGAAGGGAGGGAGGGAGGGAGGAAGAAGGAAAGGGTCTGATGGGAGACGGGGGTCGCAGAGCACCGCTGCGGGGTCTGATGGGAGGCGGGGGTCGCGGGACACCGCTGCGGGGTCTACCGGGACGCAGGGGGTCGCGGGGCGCAGCTGGGAGGCGGGAGGTCGCCGGGCGCTGCGGAGTGTGGGGAGGGGGGGCAGGGCGGGGGGCGCAGCGGAGTCCGGGGCGGCCGCGGGGGGACGGGGGCCGGGGCTGGCCCTGGGGGCGGCGGGGGGGGGACACGCCGGACGGAGGGACGGACGGAGGGACGGGGAGGGCCGCCCGAGGCAGGGCCGGCCCGCGCGGGGGGCGGCGGCGCTGCGGACGCGGGCGGAGCCGCGGGCCCGGAGCCCTTTGACCCGGAAGCCGAGGGCCCAAGCGGCGGCCCCTGATTGGCTGCCGGCCGGCCGGCACCAAGGCGCGCTCGCGGCGGGGGCGTCCGCGGAGGGAGGGAGCGAGCGAGGGAGCCCCGCGAGGGTTGGTCTCGCCCGGGCGGCGCTGATTGGCTCGCCGCTAAGAGCGCCCGAGAGCGGCCCGTCCCCGCCGGCGCGTTGGTGGTATAGTGGTTAGCATAGCTGCCTTCCAAGCAGTTGACCCGGGTTCGATTCCCGGCCAACGCAGGGACCTTTTGCACTGCGTGTGGGAGAACGCTCGCCGAAGAATTTTAAGGCCGAATTTGTTCATTCACTTCATTTCATCATCCTGCTATTCGTCGATTGCCCCGAGCAGGCCCCGGTAACGTCTCCTTCATGCTAGCCCTGAGATTATTTGTATTCAAGGGTCTTTAGGAGAATGAGGCCCATCGTTGTTACTGGTATTTGGCATATTGGGACCTGGCATACTGGTATTTGGCATATTCTCTTTCGGAGAATGAGACCCGTCATTGTTACTGGTATTTGGCATATTGGGCACGCCACGGGGAGTTTGCCAGACTCTGCCCTGAATTTGTCTGAATCAGTCTGAATTTGTTAACTGGTAAAGTCCCAGAGCCCTTCACACCGAGAGGGAAGGAAATGACTGGGCTCTGCTCCGTTGCTTTGAAATCATCGTTTACCTATTTCATTCCAATAGGCGAGTAACAAAAAAAAAATCTGCTTTCTCATTCAGCCCCCACCTAAAACTTATGGAGAGTCCGAATGTTCCCGCCCGGGATCGAACCGGGGACCTTTCGCGTGTGAGGCGAACGTGATAACCGCTACACTACGGAAACTGGTGGCTGCCGGCTGGTTCCCTATCCCCATAGATCCAGAAAAGAAACGGTTATAGGCTGGTATCTTTAGATGCACCAAATTTGCTTACGTTTTGCACGACTGGTTTGTTTTTGTTCCTCTTTGCGCCCCGGCCTGATGTGGTGAAAACGACGAAGGGTGAAAAATGCAAAAAGGGAAAATGGGCTCAGCGCGTGCCTTAAACACACGTTCAACTTCTGTTCTTTTCCTCCAGAAATATTCTTTTCTTTCGGTTCCACGAACGATCAAGGAAAGCAACCAAGAGGAGAAACTGTTTTCGAACCCATGGTCAAGACTAGCGTCATTTCATTCTAGAGGGAAACTCTCAACAGAAGTAGAATCTTATAGCTAGAATCTTTATTTAAAATAAATCCCGAGTGTCTGTCTGCAGGCCGGAGCTGTCTCGGTTCCCATCACCCGGGAAATTGTCCGGCCCTGGTCTTGAACCATTGGCTGTTTCCTGCCAAGGCCACACATGTTCAGCTGCAAGAACTTTCTGGAGAGGTCTTTGCCATGGCATGCAAGCAGCAGGAAAATTTGCAAGAAAAGAGGAAAAAGGCAGATTTAGAACTTCTTTGGTAGCATGATAGAGTGAGGGCTGAGAGGTGACAGGCTTTAACTAGGAGGATGAAAAGAAAGGGGCTCTGGTCTGAGCTGCAAAATTGAGGAATGAAACAAAAAAAAACAAAGAAAAACCCTCAGCAATTGAGATCATGTCACGGTCATACTGCCCTATCCTCTAATAATAAGCCCACACTGAAAACTGGCAGAATTTCTGCCAGGGAGTGGGTGGTATCCTGCTACATCAAATTGCAGTCAGAAGCAAGAGACAAAATGGGTGATCCTTTATAGCTGTTTCAATGTATTTTTAGTAGCTTGACCACCCCTGAACATCAGTAACGGGAAGGTGGGGGGAGGGAGAGGAAACGGAACACACTGCAATTCGCACCTGGAGGAACTTGAAAGGGTTTCTCCTTTTCTGCATTTGACTGAAAGCAAGCATGTCACCCTAACCTGGGGGCAGGAGTGGGAAAGAGGCCCCCGAAAATGATGACACGAAACATCTATTGGGAAACACATTTTTCCCCCACACCAGGATTATCCAGTAGAGGAAGCAAGACCTTAGCGACTATTGATAGTGATCTGAAGCAAGGGAAACTTTTACAGATCACTGCAAACAGGTCTCAGGGAGGGGGTCTCCAGGTGGAACCCAGGCTCTGCATGTGGGGAGCTCAGGGCCAACCCTCCCAAGCACGTTATGGTCCCCTGAGCACTCATGGGGAAAATTGAGTGAGCAGCTTATGGGGTGGCCCAAAGGCAAATGAAAAAAATCAAAATTAAAAAATTACTGTGAGCAGTGGCTAAAAACACTGCCCATGTAGTTATCTTACACATCAGGAGGGCAGAAATGCAAAAAAGTTATGGGGGGGTGGAGGGCGGTCCAGGAAGGCTTCTAGGAGATTCTAAGGGGTGATTCGATGTCGTGCCTGTCTTCCAGCTTGGAGAGAGCCCAGAATCCTAAGAGCAGGCATGAGCCCCACATCGGTCCAGCTGCTGACTCCATGGGGCAAGATGCTTATTCTCTTCGTCTTCCAGTTCTTTTCTTCTTTCTTTTTCTGTTTGCTGTTGTTGTTGTTGTTTTGTTGTTTCTGGCACATCTGACAATGCTCAGGGGTTACTCCTGACTCGGTACTCGGGAATTACTCCTGGTGGTGCTCAGG